ATTGTTTATTTTTTCCAAAAACTTGATAAACAGATTTTTTTCTCATCTTATATTACATGTATACCGTCAAAACAATAGAATTTGTCACATCTCACTTAAAAATAGATAAACAATAAACAAATCATACACATCAGCCAACTGAACATTTATCAACATTATTTTTAATTTGGAACATTTACAAAAATATAAACTTGTATGCAAGTGAACTTGTTTTTTTTATCACTAGTCTTTGTCATTTAAATAGGGTTTAAATCAAATCAGGAAGTTTGTAAAATAGATTTCTATTAAGGACTGTAATACGCCAGTTGACGAACTAGTTTAAAAAGGTAAGGAGTAACTAGTAAGAAATAGTTAATGCTAACTTACAGACTTCTTAGTATACACGATCGCGTTAGACATCTACAAAAAAACAAGTTGTTCTGATCTGTTGATGATGGGGATTTTATCAATGCAAAACTTGTTACAAATAAACGAATACCATAGCTTTAAATAACTGGGTTACATGTGATTTATGTGGCAAAAGATGACTCAGTTCAATCACTAATTTTTAACTGAGTAACAACTGTTTCAAATTGCATTATTATGAAATCATAGCTTTTAAAACCTAAAATGAGTGATTAACAACGAAGTGTTGTAACTTATTGATGACTGAAACTAAGAACACTAATCTTCAGTTAGTGTGCTTAGAGCTGTATCATGAGTACAATCGAAAAAGTATTAAACTGATTTATATTACTGGATATGAAAAAAGGGGGGATTCCTTTGTGTTCAATTACATCATAAACAGTTAATAAAGCAAAAGAATTCGGAATATTCAATAAAATCTGCAAACTATTTTATTACCCTCAACTGTACACTATGTTTTTTGATTAACTTATGTTTCCTATCATATATAGCCATTTTTTTAATCTTTGATCTTGATACATTATATAGTAGTTCTGTGAATGAAACATGAGAATAATAATAATACTTCACTGAACTATATAAATTACTGAAGTTTTCTCAGAATTTCAAAATAGAGGAAATTAGTGATTAATATATACAGAAGCTTGAAAAATGCTGAACACAAATCGGAAGGAAATATTGTCACTTACGTGTAATATCATTCACTTTCACTGAAATATTTTCACTCTGTGATCGAGGTTTACCGACTCGTAACAATTGACGACCGAAAGATCTAATTCAAAATGTTACAACAGATGGTAACGGCCATACAAAATGTAAACTAAACACATCTTTAAAACATGCAAAAATGATGACTTTTATACATTCAAAGGCTTGAAAAAAATGAAATATGTTGATAAGCTAACGAAATCACGATTTGTCTGATACCACACTTAAGTGTAAAATGAATACCAACCTGATTACTAGACACAGTGTAGACATATAAGTTGAACATCAATCTATTGGTTGAAGACCATCCGATAAGTGATTGCATAAACCCTTAATTTTGTATTTGTAAGATGCGCTAATATGGTACATGTTTAAGTCAAATTAAGAGTATTTATACAGGATTATCAATTTAAAGTACAAAAATATTAATGCTATTGCTTTAATTTCATATGCGTAAAGCTTTGAACACATGGTTTCTCATAATCATCCATATTTAATAGTCTAGTTTCACATCGAACGCATTCCGAGTCTAACTTGTAAGGTCATGATTGCGCAATGCTGAGGAGTCCCGTACAAGGAGGAAACGGCTGTCAAGTGCGTCTAGGTATTCAGTGATGATCTATCATTGATCTACTCATGATATCATTCCAAACTCAACAATCTCCAAATAATATACTGATTTAACTTTTGGTAAACGTGAATGTATACTATTTTAAGCGATTGAACCTACACTGCCTCCAGCATTTTGTACTTTAAATTGATAATCCTGTATAAATACTCTTAATTTGACTTAAACATGTACCATATTAGCGCATCTTACAAATACAAAATTAAGGGTTTATGCAATCACTTATCGGATGGTCTTCAACCAATAGATTGATGTTCAACTTATATGTCTACACTGTGTCTAGTAATCAGGTTGGTATTCATTTTACACTTAAGTGTGGTATCAGACAAATCGTGATTTCGTTAGCTTATCAACATATTTCATTTTTTTCAAGCCTTTGAATGTATAAAAGTCATCATTTTTGCATGTTTTAAAGATGTGTTTAGTTTACATTTTGTATGGCCGTTACCATCTGTTGTAACATTTTGAATTAGATCTTTCGGTCGTCAATTGTTACGAGTCGGTAAACCTCGATCACAGAGTGAAAATATTTCAGTGAAAGTGAATGATATTACACGTAAGTGACAATATTTCCTTCCGATTTGTGTTCAGCATTTTTCAAGCTTCTGTATATGTTATTCATTGGTGATTCATTAGATGTTGTTGTGTTGTACCTTCCTTAAGTTAGTGTTAGTATATTACGGGTCTATTCATCTATGTAGTCGTGGTTACATTGTTTTTTATGTATACTGCTGTTCAGTCAGGTAATTAGTCCATCTTTTCCCACGAGTTTTGAGTTACGATTTGAACTGTACAGTAGGAGTTTATTTGTCAGTTATACTCTTGTTCTGTGCTGTATTTCGGGAAGAGAGAGCGAATGGCTACATTTTGAACCAATGGGCGTTAAGTACTGTACTCAGTCGTTATCTCACCGCCGTTGAGTTATTTATTGGTCAAAGACACTCCTTTTTGTGATTTGTTATTCTAAGGTTATAGGTTCCATGAAGAACAGCCCGATCACATGGGTTTAAATGCATTTACATCACTTTGTAACACTATGCGCTCATTATAATACCACAATTTTTGCATGATCATCGGTTCTGGCCACAATTCAGTCCTGAATTATTTTAAAGTGTGTAGAATGCAAGAAAAGAATTGAACTGAAGTGAACTGAAATTAGTAATATAGTGGACAGAATTGTTGACAAAACACTCCTAGTTACCAGAGTTTACTATCATATAGGGAAATTCAGAGTCCAACCATTTCAGAAACATTGTCAAAAGTGATTGTATTAACCTCCGATATCGTGAAAAGTTGTTGCCTGGCTGCTTTAAGTCTAAGGACTCAGAAGGAGCTAGTTAGGGATTATTTTAGAACCCCTAATTAGTTATTTACAAAAAAATTAGTTATCATTATACGAAGAAATAAAAATTAAACTGCTTGTAGTTAAATTTGTAAAGTGAAACATTCTTTGCTTACCTGAATTCCTGTGCTCTCTGAATTGTCCACATACATGGAATTCCAGTTTATTTAGCTACGGTTAATGTAAAATAGGATGGTGAACTTGACAAAGGGATACCAAAATGCTTTACTACTATCTGTGCGTATATATATTTAGAACTGTGGCTAAAGTGATTTAGAAACTTAAATCTCAACTACTGTGTTATAGTGTTGAATGTCATTGCATTTTTCAGGATTTTAGCAACCACTATACAATTAACTTAATCCTCTTATTTATCGGGATTATGTAATTAAACTTCATTTTCTGTATTCAGTAGTTTTGTGTTAATGAAATATATTGGTGTAAACCAAGTGGACATTAAACACAGTCTTTGGGATTCAGTATAGGTCGACAAAGTCTACTACAGAAATAGGACCAAACTTAGATCCCTGTAGTAAACATATACAATTACCATTATTTTATTCTTTGTAAATGTTATTTAACCTAATCGGTTTACTTTTACGCAAAAGAATAGCACAAATCGAATGAAGAAATTCTTCTATCCAATCAAGTACTCACCATGTCTCCACATTACAACATTTAAACTTACATTCGTAGTTTAAAAGCATTTGGTTGCTCAAGCTTATATCATATCAAAATTTAAACGATCAGTTTGGCACGAAGTGTTTAGGAGACAATCTATGTAATATTATATTTAAAATAATTCCACTTTTTGGCATTTAAATAAGTGCTGGTGGGGGTGTGAGTGATGAGATCAATGCACGAATAGTGAAAGCCAGAGCGGCTTATGCCAATCTGGGCCACCTTTGGCGCCTTCGTGATGTAAGTCTGGCTGTAAAAGGCCGGATCTACAACGCGTCGGTGAGAGCAGTTTTGCTCTATGCTTGTGAAACCTGGCCTCTCCGAGTTGAGGACGTTAGACGACTCTCTGTGTTCGATCATCGCTGTCTCCGAAGGATTGCTGACATTCAGTGGCAACACCATGTCAGTAATGCAGAGGTTCGGCATCGTGTGTTCGGGCACAGAGATGATAATTCAATTGGTGTCACCATCTTGAAACATTGACTTCGATGGCTTGGACATGTTCTACGAATGTCGTCCCAGAGAATTCCACGTCGTGCATTATTTGCCGACTCTGGGACTGGTTGGAAGAAGCGGAGAGGTGGTCAGTGCATGACATGGTGTCTTGGTGTGAAAGAAAGCTGCAAAGGACTGGCTTGTGTCGGTCCTTCACGACTCCCTGGTTGGGGTCCGAGAGATGGTACTACACAGTGGCTAGAGACGTTATCAGATATGGCTCAGAATAGAAGCCAGTGGCGATCCTGCTGTAACCTTCTTTTACTTTCTTAATAAAAAGTGGTTGTGTCTCCTTTACCTGAAAGATTTCTTCTGATTGTACCTTTTCGTTCCGTCGTTACTACCACACTACCTTACTCCAATCTCTTCGTCATTGTTCTCTTTTTCTTTTGCGTTCCTTAGTTTTTTTTCTCTTTCTACTTCTCTTCGAATTACCATTGTTTTGTGTGGCGCATATATATTGGCGCTCTCTTGTACCAATATTTATGTGTTCAAATAAATAAATAAATAAATAAAAATCCCTACGTTTTGCTTGCCTAACTGGGTCCCTAAAGTAGTTCGGATTGGTTTGCCCGGTGAAATACTGAAATTATTTAAGTTTTAAATTATTCCAAATATAATATTTCCATCTAACAACTTATGGTTTCATACGATTTATCGAATTATTTTAATAATTACCAATTATTCCAAACAACTTCTCTCTTTTATATACTGAAATTTGTTGTGTACTATTTTCTCCAGATGATGATACTGGATATCGTAAGAAAAGTTCTTCACGTCCTGTCGGCTACTCATTCTTTACACCTAAGTAAGTTTTTCTCTCACAATTTATATTTTATACATTCTTATTATTGTATTATTGTTGTTCCGTTGTACTATTTAAACTTGGATTAGTTTTAATTTGGTTATTTATTCTCTGAAGAAATGACTTACACTAAGCCACGAAACGTCAGAAAATCTAATTTTTCTACTCACTGAGATATTACAAATATACTATTTATTTATAACAATCGACCCAATGCTCGATTTATTCGAAATTATCAAACCAAACCTTGTTAATGATACCTGTATTAAAAGAAGCTTTAGTTAGTATGCACTTTACATTAGTACTATTTATTGAATTTAAGTGGCAAATAATTTGTTTGTATATCATTTCTTTAAACAACGAATCGGACTGTGAATATTCTATGTAAGAGAAATTTTGAAGTTCCAATTCTAAATTTAATGATGAATAAGAAATTCGTGATAAGATGAAAATAATTCATGTATCAACAAGTATATGTGTTAAAGTAGGGTAATTACCAACGTCTCCTTAATGTTTTTTTTTTAATCAGGATAATTTATAGAGTAACATCCTGCTATGTTTCAATAAATGATCTTTAAGTCTTGTAATACAAGACACAAAATGAAATGATGCTTAACATCTGATTGTTCAAATTTGAGGATGTACTTTTTCATCCATGATGAACTTAATTATTGCACTGTGTCCAGAGGATTTGATCTTAAAATGCCGAAAATGACTTCATAATCTGACGACAGTTTAGAATATGCAATAATGTGCTATGCTAGACTACCTCACTGATAAAAATTTTATTATTTACTCAGTCAGTCAGTTAGTCAGCAACAACGTAGAACTCCATGCATACGTACATCAGTTCGAGTTGCCATACCACATTAGCACAGAGATACAATTGTCGATTCATATTCCATAGTGGTAGAGGTAGTAAAAGTATAAGCAGTAATCGGAAAGATTAGGGTTTGAAGATGTTATTCAAGGAGTATAATCCAGTGAAATAGATTTGGAAAGGGAAAAAGGGGACATGAAGAACTCAGAAGATTATAATTTGGGAGATCACAAGGAGTGAATGCACCTGTCATTGCAAACGATTCTGAGCCATGTCATTCAAGGTCTCTAACCACCGGTTGCTATCGTCTCGCAAATCCCAACCAGATAGTCTACACCTACCAGCATGACTCACTCCACTTGTCAGTGACGTCATGGATTTGAACCATGTGAAATAATCTGCGAGGATGATGGGATGCCAATCACTAACATCCATCGACGTCTTGGACGGTGGGCAGAATTTTTCGAAGGGCAGTTCAACTGGCCTGCTGCTCCGGCAACATCGGTCAGACTGTCCTGCCCTCCATGGCCGGTGACGACTGATCCACCAAACGAGGAGAAAGTCCGCAAGGAACTCCAACTCTTGAAGCGTAACAAATCACCTGGCCCAGATGACTTACCTCCGGCTCTTTTTAAAGATGGTGATGACCTTTTGACTAAGGAATTGACGACGTTGTTTACAAAGGTTTGGGAACTAGAGAGTGTACCAACGTCATGGAATGAGTCGATAGTTGTCCCTATCTTTAAAAAGGGTTCACGTCGTTCCTGTAACAACTATCGGGGGATAAGTCTACTTCCGATTGCGTCCAAGCTATTGGCTTCCGTCATACTTCGTAGGTTGTTCAAAATCCGAGAAAGATTGACTCGCGAGGAGCAGGCTGGGTTTCGTTCCGGTCGAGGATGTATTGATCATATCTTCACCCTCCGCCAAATGTTAGAACACCGCCATACTTATCAAAGGCCAACAATCGTAGTGTTTCTTGACATCAGGGATGCCTTCGATTCGTTGGACAGAACTGTTCTCTGGGATTGTCTATTGAAGAAGGGTGTGCCTGAGAAGTTTATTAACATCCTAAAAGCCCTATATAAAAACACCTCAGGCAGAGTAAGGGCATACAATCACCTTTCTCCATTGTTCCATTCGAGTAGTGGGTTAGGCAGGGTTGCCCAATCTCACCATTCCTCTTCAACTTTGCCATCGATGACATTCTGGAAACAGCTCTGATGAATGTAAGTAATGGTGGTGTGGATCTGTTGCCTGGAGAAAGACTTCTCGACCTTGAGTATGCGGACGATATTGTCTTACTGTGCGATAATGCCCAAGGCATGCAATATGCACTTAATCAGTGTCCGTAGGTATGGTATGTGCTTTGCACCTACGAAGTGCAAAGTACTTCTACAAGACTGGCAGGATTCCAATCCTGTACTCACCCTGGATGGTGAGCAGATAGACGTAGTCGAGAAGTTCGTGTATCTGGGTAGCATCATAAGTGCTGGTGGGGGTGTGAGTGATGAGATCAATGCACGTATAGTGAAAGCCGGAGGGGCTTATGCCAATCTGGGCCATCTATGGCGCCTTCGTGATGTTAGTCTGGCCGTAAAAGGTCGGATCTACAACGCGTCGGTGAGAGCAGTTTTGCTCTATGCTTGTGAAACCTGGCCTCTCCGAGTTGAGGACGTTAGACGACTCTCTGTGTTCGATCATCGCTTTCTCCGAAGGCTTGCTGACATTCAGTGGCAACACCATGTCAGTAATGTAGAGGTTCGGCATCGTGTGTTCGGGCACAGAGATGATAATTCAATTGGTGTCACCATCTTGAAACACCGACTTCGGTGGCTTGGACATGTTCTCCGAATGTCGTCCCAGAGGATTCCACGTCGTGCATTATTTGCCGACTCTGGGACTGGTTGGAAGAAGCGGAGAGGTGGTCAGTGCATGACATGGTGTCTTGGTGTGAAAGAAAGCTGCAAAGGACTGGCTTGTGTCGGTCCTTCACGACTCCCTGGTTGGGGTCCGAGAGATGGTACTACACAGTGGCTAGAGACGTTATCAGATATGGCTCAGAATAGAAGCCAGTGGCGATCCTGCTGTAACCTTCTTTTACTTTCTTAATAAAAAGTGGTTGTGTCTCCCTTACCTGAAAGATTTCTTCCGATTGTACCTTTCGTTCCCTGATTACTAGCACATTACCTTACACCAATCTCTTCGTTATTGTTCTCTCTTTTTTTTTGTTGCTCTCCTTAGCTCTTTTTTCTTTCTTTGTATTCCTCTCGAATTTTCATTGTTTTGTGTGGCGCATATATATTGGCGCTCTCTTGTACCAATATTCATGTGTCCAAATAAATAAATAAATAAAATGTTTTGGTCTGGCCGCCCCCAGATTTCTTTCAATCTACTCCTACACCATGAAACATCGCACGTCGGGGCAGTCAGTGGTTGAGCATACGTAACACATGTCCCAGCCAACTCAACTGATGAAGTTTCACTGCTTCATCAATTGATTTGCCATCCTTACCTAGTACCCGTTTCCTAACAACTGCATTACTTACTCGATGGTCCCAGGATATACGAGCAGTGTTTCGAAGACACCTATGATCGAATGCTAGTAACCTACGAATATCCTCCACTCTTACCGGCCATGTTTCACTTCCATAAAGTAGGACGAACGAACTACTGCACAGTAAACACGTCCTTTAGCTGATGGATGGATATCTCGCCTACTCCAAAAATGACGCAAGTTGGCGAAAGCTAGTCGAGCCTTCTGTATCCGTGCTAAGATTTTGTCACACACCAGACCATAAAGGCTGATGAGGCTTTCAAGATAAGTGAAGAGGTCGACCTGCTCAACTACTTCACTCTCTATCATTAGTTCGAGTGTCGATGCAACCCAATCCTGAATTAACATTTTGCATTTCGAGAGGGAGAATCGCATCCCGAACATGCTTGAATTGATGCTCAGAGTGGTCAGAAGACTCTGCATTTTGTCAGCGTCTTGACAAAATAGAACTATGTCATCGGCATATTCTAGGTCAAAAAGTGAATCTCCCGGTAGAAGTTTAACGCCTGGAAATTTAGATGAGGAAAGTGTTATCTCTAAAAGCATGTCAACGACAAAGTTAAACAAGAATGAAGAGAGTGGACAGCCCTGACGTAGACCACTTGAGGTAATCAATTCTGATGACAGTTCGCCATGAGCTCTCACTCGACTAGTTGTGTTCGAGTAGAGAGCCTTTATAAGGTTAATGTAGTTCTTTGGTACTCCTTTCAATGACAAACACTGCCATAGAACCTCACCGCTTCAAGTTCCAAAAGTACTACGATCGTGGGGCGTCCGAATGTATGTTTATTTACTACTACTACTACAGTCTTCAAATTCTTGTTTTTGAATTATTTTCGAGGTTTATCCGTTATTGTTTTTTTCCATCTTTTTAAACTCCATCATATATATGTATATTTAAACCAAATTATAGTCATTGGTCAACATCGTCTTTTTTTTCTATCGATCAACTCAGATGTCCGTTATTGAGTTGATTTCGAAAAACTGTACTCCATACTGATAGTAATAAATGGTTATCAGTGTCATGGTTCTTTCAGTTTGCAAATTATTATTTGCTTGTCAAGGATAATGATACCAATGTCTTTCTGTCATTCTCCTTTGCTTATTCAACCATCTTCAATGTTCCCTACTATGTTTACCTCATTTTGTCATTTGCGGTCCTGTGTATGTTTCAATAATTTCAACAGAATCGTAATTTTAATTTTTCCATACTGTAACCACTGATTGCAAGAATTTTGCAATACATATACAGTGTTACTGAATTAGCCAGCGTATAAGCGTAGCTTGAGCTTCGAGGTTAAAGTAATTTAATAGTTAGATTCATGAGTCGATTGAAGCTAGACCACCATGGAAAACCTAGAAGCGCTGGACGGCTGTTTCGTCGTGGTATGGGACTCAGCAGTATATATATATTAGTGTAGAGCCATGATGAAAACAATTTCTTCGCTTGATTTGTTCCTTCTTTATTCACCAAATTTCAAAATGGGAATTTTCACTATAACTGGGTTTGTTTCCTCTTCACGAACATCACTTAGTTACTCAGATACACGTACTTCTTGTTAATATTCAACTGGTCAGCACCGGAATAAGTGTAAGAAAAAGGAATTAATCAGTCGGACAAATATTTCTCTCCCATGAGCTTTATATTTTATTTTCGAAAACTGATCACTAATTCACTGAGTGGCGTGTATTTCATTGTACAGCAAGATAATATTATGAGCTTTTTTTATTTTAAAAAAAACTAATCAGTTCCGTGAACAGAATACTACTCCTGATCTCTTGAAGTTTTGAAGAGTAGATTGTTTCATATGTGCTTAGTTCCAGTTCATTCCACACCTTTCCGTCTGATGGATAACGACCATGTAACACACGAAAGTTTTGCTAAACATATTAGATTTACGACTGTTCACATCAGTAAAGCAAGGCACTATTGTTATTCCTTCTTTAACTAATTTCTTAGTTATACAATAACATATCATAAATTCATTGTATCCAACAATAAATGGAGTTGTAATTTAGTAATAGCACTTAACTCAAAATTCAAAAATTTACTGCAGTTTATTCTCCTGATTTTAGAAATATATTTCCTGAATGGATTATTTGTATTTCCTTCTGAATAAAACATTATTCTATAGTTTCTCTCCTATTGTGTTGTAAATTTTATGTCAAGCTTTTATTTTGAGTTTTAAAAGTACACTTTCTACCAGCTGACTTGTTACTCCACATATGATTCCTTAAATGCTTTCATATAGTGTGACTTACCTCAATTGACTGATTTACTTGTAAGCATTTTTGTTAAAATAACAGTTTTAGTTTCTCTTGCCAACAACATAAAATTGAGAAATTAAAAAACAATTAAAGTTATTTAATTAACGGAAACACGTGAAAAACTGGAAGAGTGAATAGTACTAAAACATATCTGGGAATTAAAAAGAAAAATTGAAATTATTTAAATTGACGTGTTTCATGTATCCCTAAGAGTTCACGCACAAAAAATCCACTCACGATATATATATAAACTTGATCTCTCTGAACTTGTTTTCCATTTTACTGATTACCGCATCATTCTGTACAACTTTACTCTGATTAATTATATTTAATTTTCAATTACATTGATTTTTAAACTGAATTTAAACATTAATATTAAATAATGTCATTTAATTTAAACGTCAATGTGAAGCTATCTTACTTTTACTGTTGAAAATAAAATGGAGTTTTCGTCCCGTTATACTATTTAAACTTGGATTAATTTGGTTATTTATTATCTGAAGAAGTGCTTACACTAAGTCACGAAACGTCAGATTATCTAATTTTTTTACCCATTGGGACATTACAAATATATTATTTATTTAAAAAATAGAATTTTACTTTCTAAACTAAAATCTGCTTAAAGTTTAATGTAGTAGTTTTAAGGTTTTTGTTGAATCGGCTTTCGGAGAACTTCAACGGATCCTTAAAAAGAGCCGAAGAGTCCTAGCTAATCACAGCACGATGGAGCATTCTAGAATTCCAACGTGGCGTGCTACTATTGGTCAGTAGCATAATATGTTGCTAACGGATTGGCCGAAATATGTTGATTTAACAAACGTTAACATCTATAAATAACCGTGTTTTTCTGTACAAAAACGAACCTTGGAGTAAAGTATTTCTCTCATACTTTGCGTCTTCTCTCTGGTGTTCAGGTCGCTGTGTAGTTCTAGCTTGTGGGTTACCGGAATAGCTTAGAAAACGAATATAGCGTTCAATCGACAAGACTTATCAGTTTTGATATTCAGCTAAAAAGATTTGAAGTTTATCCAATTGATGTCCGCTTATAGTAGAAAACGTCTGGGAAAACATACCTTGCTAATTACTGTATACTAATGCAGTAGAGATTTGATTCTATTGCCAATCTTTCTTCATTGTTTTAAATATTTAGGATGTTGAGCTAACATATGGTGGACCTGTTTGTGTTTTGTTAAGAGAATCTGATTATGTCATAGTTCCAGCAATTTTGTATCCATAGTAATTATTGCATAGTAGCGTAATAACTGGTTTATCGAATGTATTCTCAAGGATGTATCTAAATTTTATTTTTATTGTAGCGATAGAAAGAAACATAAGAAAATTACAAAAGGCCATTTGACTACATCCAATTTGTTGTATCCTGTAAGTTATTGTTTTGAATGGTCAATTGAATATCTAGAGCAATTAACAGTGTTCAGGCTTTACGAATTTCTAAAGAGAAAATGAAATATTTATGAAAAAATCCAATTCATTATTGAGTATCAACAATGGGGCAGTTGAAACTCTTTCTAATGTTAACGTAAACGTACGTGTTGAAGAAGTTAGTGGCTATCGGGTCTCGGTAGCTCAGTGGATAATGCTTTGATTTTCGGAGAGAAAAGTACTGGATTTGAGTCGTAGTGTGAATATCAACACCAAAATAAATTCACCTGACAAGTCCCAGTGACAAGAAATATAGGTTTTATATATTCCACTGCTAGCCACAATCCATCTGTTTTAAAAGCCATTAGTCCCACTAAAATAATTCATTTGAATAATGATTCTTTCAACGTAAAATATTTTCTACCCTTATTGTTTTAACTTTTATTTGAAAAGTAACCTATGTCGTTCCAGTTACTATCTTTCAACTTTCGATTACTGACTGTACTCAGTATATGACTAATTACATGTAAAATATTATATATTGACCAAGATATTACTGTTTTGTTAACGTTTCTATAAGCTTAATTTATCCACAGTTTCGTATCCCGTCTACATCTATTGACTGCTAGGATTTAAATTTGTATTTAACAGAGCGTAGAAAGAAATTTTTCGAAAACTTTCTCTAATAACATTGCATTTTGTTATTAACTATAATTCAGGGCAATGTGAAATTCAGCTTTTTATAGGTTTCTTTGTGTTTATCAAACTACTTTAATTGTTTCTCTCTATTGACAGCTCATAATATTACAAAGTCGTAATTTCAGTAGCTCTTCCGTACTTTCGTTTGTACAATGTATTGCAACTCGATATATATATATATATATATATATATATATATATATATATATAATTCCAAAATCTTTTTATCGAGAAAGAGATAACCCACTAGTTTTTCTAGTATCCTTCGTTTATTTTAGGGTCACTCTAGTTTATCACTTCATCCATGGTGCACACCATTAGTGTCTTTCCTAATCAAGTTTAATATTTTGAATATACAAATACATCTTCATAACATAAAGTTCTGATCAAATGATCTACTATTCTTTTTAAACTTCAGTCTATCTGTGGTCTGATCTAGTAGTAGTTATCTGTCAATAGTATCATGAAATATTTCTATTATCTATTAATTGATTTTCATGCTTTATTCCTAGTATGCCTACGCAAAGTCGTTTTCGTCAGTATAAGTAGAACTGTTATTTCTATATTTTATTCAGTTCAATGAATAATAATATCAATAAATTATATTAATGAACGTGAACGTTTTGAAGTTGATTTTTGTTTTCTAGAATTTCATTTTTATCCTGATAATTAATTATTTAAATGAATGAATCTATTATAGATAATAAAATTGTCCCTATTTGACCAATTAATTGTTTTCGATTAATTATTGTCATTGTTTTATTTATAATTAATATAAATAATTTGTAAGCTAATTAAATGGTAATTAATTTATTTGGAATTACACTATAGAATAATATGAGTAAAAAGTGATCGATTTCTTTCTTTCTGAAATTTATATTTCTTCGAATTTTTACATTTCATTTCAAATCATTGAGTTAAATATTTACATTGTTTAGTTAATTGTACATTCTTTATAGTATTTGTAAGACAATTTCATTTTTAATATTTGCCGTCTTTATCAATTTAATGAATTCCCATTTGATTGAACATCATGTCTACGAAGTACAATATTATCTAACGTTAAATCAATTTACCAAAGAAAAGGTGTCTTCATTTAGTGTTGTTAAGATATTTGAAATCTAAATATACACATGTTGAAGTAATAGGATCGAAATCTGTTTCAGCACTAGTAATCTGATCATTTTTTTCTAGCAAAGTTATCTGACTGTTACCAGCAATCCTATAATCATAGTTTGTAGCTTGATATAAGACAGCAACAATCACTGTATTCTTCTTCTTCGCGTATTCTACTAATTAGTTGCCTCTCTGATTTCCTATCCTATTTATAAACTTGAGCTAAATGAAATAGACTGCAATTTATATGTTCATATTTCGAAGTTTGTCTACAAAAAAACGTCAATATTAACATTAGACATAAAAACTTATGATTTTATTGAAAACTGAGATACATTGAATATTTAAATCGTCTAAAGTTTCTTAAGTCTTTTATCTAGATTTCGTTTTATTTTTATGTTCTGGCAAGTTTTTATTAAAATAAAAAAGACTGGTTAATCGTTTACTCTGTTGGCTTACATAAGTCTAATTGATTGTTTATATGTATAATTGCTAACATAATAGTCAGTGATACGTTTCAATTAATTTAACTTATAGTTAACTCACGTCCTATAATTCATTATTATTTTTCATTGTTTTACCTATGTATATATATGTGTGTGTGTGTCTGTTCATTCTTAATATTCATGTTAATAAAACCGATCACCTTATACATGTGAAATCTCAACGGAAAGAATAGAACACTTACTGCAATTATATGACCATTGATTTGACTTTTGGTTAATAATTGACCTTGTGTTGTGTATATGATAAAAGTTTTCACGAAATTTTCGGTAGTGATTCATTTGCTTATTGATTTCAGCTTCTTGTATTTCAAAGGCTCTGTATTATAATTCATTTTCTTAAGTCTAAATAATCAAGTGATGATAACATTAAGAAACATTATTCATTTAATTTCGTGATCATTATAATTTCCTTGAAACTATTTATCTTTGTGTATAGTTCAGAACAATATTAGTTTTGTTTAAAGAATGAAATTGTTGAGTCAGATAAACCATTAAAATATTGAAAATGTGTTCAATCATAATAACAACATAAATTTATACGAATATAATCTTTACAATAATCTGATATAACGGTGGCGAGAATAATTATTATCATGATAGTGGTAGGTAAAGGACTTGGGAAAAGGCTGATAAACAACATCCTTTATTTGCATAAGCTTTGCAAAAATAGTTTGATTGATATTGATTTTGGTGGTTATTAACGAAATACCCTATCCTCTCACACGCGCACTTCAAATGTCTCAATTATACTTCGTATATGAAGGTGAATACTGAGATTTCGTCAACCTCGTACTTTTTGTCTTCTAAATAAAACAATCCTAAACTTCAGTATATTTAATTATTCTCCTACTTGCCCATACTGGTCAATAGATTTAAATCAACTGAATTACTTCACACATCCAGTGTTTTTCTTTCATCTAATCTATTAGTATTACTTCTGTGTGTTATAGTGAATATGTGTATATATAACTACTATTAGTGTTATTGTTTACTTTCAAATAGCTGAAATGACTGTAGTTCATGACTTTCAACTAATCAAATTCTAAAAAAAATGTGACTGGCAGGCAAATTCGTTGGTTTTTAAGAGATATCACTTGTAAACTTGGGTCTTGCATGTATTACAAGTCATGATTATTAAAAACATTGTAAACTTTACATTATCCCTCTGGTTGTCAGTGAACTTTTCTTACATTCAATATTCCCTTAGTTAGTTATGAAGTATCATATGCTTTAGCCTTGGGCTTCGTTTAAATAACTTTTCATCGTCCTTAACTAAAATTGAAATAAAGTACATTATAAAGAAATAATCCTATGATCATAATACGTTTATAGTGTTTCTCTTATTTATATAACCTTTATCAAGTTGTAGAGTCAGCATAGCAGTGTGATTAACCAATCAATCTTGACAATTGGATAACATTTATATAACCTGGTACTCTGACATGATGTGCTCCACACACCCAGTTAGTTCCTTTGATCCTGTCCAAAGTTGCACGAAATGTATTTATACGACGGGAATCTCACGGATCAAGGATCGTTAAACGTAAATGGGGAGAGATTTAGAAATTTGTGTGGGTTTAGGCGGCACAATATACCCACACAATGCTACATGGGTCCCATCGTATAACACCACAGAAAACCAGGTATATCATATTTGTATCAATAAAAAATTCAGAAGAACAATGGGAGACACGAGAACCGGGATAGGTGCTGACATAACTTCAGATCACCACCTGGTGGTTGCCAAAATGAAACGGAAGCTAAAGAAACACTGGACAGTTGGGGAAATAGCATTACAATGGTTCAATACAACCTTCCTTCGAGATACTAACAAACCCAACCAATTTAAGATAACTCTCAACAATAGGATCCAAACCTTAAAGGATCTACTAAAAGAAGATGAAACTACGAATGAGGACAACTAGAAACGGATCAAAGAAGCGTCAACTTCAACATGTCAGGAGGTGCTGGACCGCAAGCATCATCATCATAAGGAATGGATCTCTACGGAAACATTAGACAAGATTCAAGAAATAAACAAGAAGATGTCAATAAACAACAGTCGGACAAGTACAGAGAAAATTAGGACAAGGAGAATACACTGACGCAAACAAGCAAGCGAAGTGGATCTTTAGAGCAGACAAGCAGAAATACGTGGAACTCCTAGCAACGACAACGGAAAAAGTTGTAACTGAAGCAAATATGAGATAACTATATGACACAACGAAGAAACTAGCGGGAAAATATAGTAAACCAGAGTGACCAGTCAAGGGAAAATATGGTAGGCTAATCACCGAGATTCAGGGACAGAGAAACAGATGGGTGGAACACTTCGAGGAACTCTTAAATAGAGCTGCTACATTGAATCTGTCGGACATCGAGACAGCACCTACAGACATTTCTTTAGATGTCACTCTACGAATGATCGAATAAATAAAAAAGGCCATCAGATAAATAAAAGTGGGAGGGCAGTAGGACCTGAAAATATATCAGCCGAAGCACTGAGGTCACACGTAGAAGCAAACATTCTCCACTTTCTATACAGGAAAATTTGGGGGGGGGGAAGAAGTAGTGCCTCTAGACTGGAAAAAAGGGTATGTCATCAAGAGGGCAAGGAATATAGATCTGAGCAAGTGTGAGAACTACAGAGGTACCACACTGATGTGAGTACTAGAAACAGTTTTTGATAGAGTGCTGCCGAACCAGATGAAAGATTAAGTCGACGCCCAGTTTCCAGATCAACAGGTTATGAAGACCTCAATATGTGAGGGAAAGCACGGAATACAATGGACAGCTTGAACTCAACTAGAAGATTTAGAATTCTCAGATGATCCAGCCCTTCTATCTTATACAAACCGAAAAATACTGGTTAAAACAACCAGTGTAGCAGCAGCCTCTGGATCAGTAGGCTTCAACATACACAAGGAAAAAAGCAAGATCCTCAAATTCAACACAGAGAACACCAACCAAACCAATCACACTTGATGAAGAGACTGTGGAGCAGGTGGGACATTCAAGTGCATGACATGTTCAGCATCATCGATGAACAAGAAGGATCCGTTGCAGACGTAAAGGCAAGGATGGCACTCCTACAGTTGAAGAACATCTCGAACCTAAAACAACTGTCTGCAAGCGAACTTCAAAATCGGAATCTTCAAAACGAATGTAAAGACAATTCCATTGTACTGAACTGAAACATGGACAACTATCACAACTATCATCAAAAATGTTCAAGTATTTGTAAACAATTGTCTACACAATATCTGTTGGCCGGAAACCATCAGCAACAGCCTACTATGGGAGAGGACAAATCAGCTCCCAACTGAGGCAGAAATCAGGAAAAGATGTTGGAAGTGGATAGAACATACATAACTTGGAATCCTCAAGGGAAACGGAAAAGAGGAAGACAAAAGAACACACTACGTCGGGAATATGAAGCAGATATGAAAAGAATGAATAGCAATAGGATTGCCCAGGACATAGTTGCATGGAGAATACTGGTTGGCGAGGGTTGACAGGCGTCAGTAAGTATATATATATATATATCATATTGTAGTCATGAGGAAAAGGGTGAGACTATAGTTTATGGACGGCCTTTGAGCGATACTAAAGTGACCTTGAGAATGTTCAGCTAATAACTAGGACTAGGATTATAAAGCAGTGTGAGGAATTAGAATTATGATTTACAGTTGATGGTTGGGGTTAGAAATTAGATTTAGAGTTTTTATCACGAACTGACATCAGCTTTAATGCCAAGACTATTTAGCCAAATGGATGGGTGGATCTGATTGGTTCATCCATAAATCATAGTCTCGCCGCCGTGACCAATGAAGTCCGATCCGTGTCGGGTGTGAGACAGTTATCCATCTCAGACAATGAATAAAGAGTTGAACAAGATCATGGTTCGCTCATAAATTATAGTTTCGCCGAAAAGCTACTTGAAGTGGAATTTTCTCTCTCTTCAGACAATAGATGAAAGGTTGCGCAAGATCATGGTTCGATTAAAGCTAGACGTTAGCTCCGCTGGATGCCGACCCAGTGGTCTGGAGGCTTAGCGTTCGCTCGCGAGACCGACTGTTCTGCATACGCGATTGTGGATGCGCACTGCTGAGGAGTCCCATAAGAGGACGAAACGATTGTACTGTGCTTCCAGGTTTTCAATGGTTGTCTAGCTTACACTGGCTCATGAATTCAACTATTATAAGAAATCTATAAATGCAATGGTGTTATTTCAAAGTAGTTAAGTTTGTCAAGTTTTACAAGTGCTGAATATGATTAGCGTTGCATCATTCAGCGTTCTAAGCGAGCGGTATCGGATTTGAGTGTGGGGGTGATTAATAACTCTGGGATATAGTTACGCAGCTAACAAGGTACAAATAGAGCGAAACGTGCGTTCTGGATTCCTCTGCTATCCAACATCTCTCTGTGCTCATTATAACGTCAGTTTTTTTTGTTTGGGTGAAGAGTTTCACGTAACGTCATCAGTCGTGCTGATGTATAAGTAACCTTCATCACTGCATTCATCTAGTGTTTGATTATTCTAGTGATTTCATCTCTTTTGAAGCGTAGATTTAAGAAATAGATTTCTTCCATTGTATCGTATTTAACCCGTACGTTGGTTTTGGCACATTTGTCAATAAATTCCACCTGATATGCCTTTTTACTTAGGCCAGGTTTAATGAAGACAAGTTCTTCCAGACTTTCCTTCGAGAATAGTTTACGAGCGTTGTCAAAAAGTTCCTACAATCCCTATATTTGTAACTTATTAGACAGAAACTGTTGTGATTCAGATAAACTCCACTCTATTTATTTTTGCGGTGGATGTGTCCTTGTAGTGCGCCGTCTAAGTTCACTTTTTAAGTCATGTTCCGTGGTAAAATGTATATCATTGAGTGCTTACTTGATTGCTATTTGGGCTTTATTCCGATTCAAAAAGAGCACCGGTTGCGTGAGATTCCTGATGAATCGCCTCCCTGCTCATGTTTTCAAGTCATTCATTTGTTTGATAACAATCCGTTTCAGAACATCGAGAGAAACAATAAGATTAAAGTTTTTGAACACTGCCAGAATGATGGCTGCTTCCCTCATCAAACTTTTGAAGGTTTACGTGCATGTAAAATACCACCGTCAAAAAACCAACAACCTCGCAAAATCTCAAATTGAATGCACCCTTACTTTTGATCTTCTTACCGTTATACATCTATATACACATTCATGCATATACACTAAACACATACAAACATAATTGCTAGTGGATTTTTTAAGCAACTCTTGTAAGTGTAACACGGAGCAATGTTCAGAGTAGGTTAGGTCTGTTCTCAAAAATAATCAATGGCTATTATAAATCACTTACATGAGTTTATAATTGTCTGATTTAGATCCAGAGAATAATTAATTTCTTAGTTTGTGGATCCATATGTTTATCTAGCATTCATTTATCTTAATAATCATGAATGTATTTTATTTATTCCGCCACTTCATTTTACCTAATAACGAATAATATTATAATGATTTCTCTATCTATAATTTGTGTCATTTTTTCATAATTAAATGTATTGAACGATACTTTGTCTGTTCAGGTATTTAATAGTCAGACTGTTATTTTAGGTGCTATACAATAGTTATGGTGTGAAGATTTGATATGGGAAGCTTGATAGATCTATTGAACTAGTTGATACTTATTGTTACTATGATCTTTTTATCATACAGAAAAAATAGCAAAACGACCTCATTTGTCTAGCCAATTTCGTACTAATTTTCCTCATCTTTTTGCTTTGTAACTACAATGACTGATCCCTAAGTAGTGACCAATATTATGCGTATTTGCTCTATAGTGCTGATCGAATTCTATAGATCAAGTTGAACTGTAGCCAATATCAAAGATTAGATAAACATGAGATTGTCTCGCGGGTCAATGTTAGTAGCCTTAACTTACAGGTTAGTCGCGCCTTGTGTAGCTCAGTAGAAACGTCGTTCTTTAGAACTGGGTGACCTAGGTTCGGATCTACCAGAAAACATCAGTTTCCTGAAGATTTCAGATACCCTTGTTATGACGAAACCCTACTAACATGAAATGTATAGATTTTCTGCCTACTACTCTTAACCACTTAATATTATCTCATAACTCTTACGATTATCGTTATTCCCACTTGTTAATTATACTATACAATTTAAACATGATAGTTCAAGTTATGAAACGTTACTATTATTATTGTACAAAGTCAATCATTTATTCACGCTAACTGGAATTCTATCAGTAACTTTGCGTCTGGATTACCCCCGGTATTATTTTACGATTTATTTGAATTTCAACAAATAACGGAATTTTCATCCTCCTTTTGTATCAACTAGAATTAACAGAAAATCTTGGGCTCTCTGTTTTATTGATAACAACTCAATCACATAGATCAGTAAATTATTTGTGATTTCGAAATTGTACTATGCAGTTTAAACACTAAAAAACAATAACATAGAAATGCAATTATTTAAAGCAATTATTCCCTTTTATAAATTTTGATAGAGCAATTAGATCAACTCCGTCTTCTAATCGCTTTATCGAAATACAATTATTTCAGTCGCCTATTCTCTTATCCTTTTCACTTACTAAATGTAATTTTTATACTCTATCAATAGTGATTGTCAAGTCACCAGCTGAGAAGTCTCATACTAGGACTAATAGTTGACCATTCCCGTTTAGTTTTCTATAGTGGACAGTTGATGCTATCGCTTACTAAAACCACTTGATAAGTGGGTTCAGTTTCCTTTAAGCTCATCTGTAAATTATTTTTTGCTTGAATTATTCATGTTTGAGAGAAAATACTGTGTAAATATTTTTATGTTCATCTCGCTTATCGGTTTCCTTTTTATATTTTCCTTTTTTAGCCTGATTCATCCAGCATATTCCTACCTGAGAATGTAGCTAGCAGTAGTTCTCAACCACTTCGAACTGGTTCATTACCTTCTACCAATGGACTTAACCCTATCAGTTGTGGTGGATACGATGCTGGTGGACGTAGTATGATTAGCGGTTTAAGTGGTATAATTAGTACATCAAAAGATGATACATGTCCCAGTATAGATCCATCTGTTGCTGTCAATTCTAACACTGGTGCATTTTCATGGTCAGATGGTGGAGATAATACACTGGCACGAATATTTGAATTTCTTGGTGTATCACCACATCAAGTGTTCAATAGTCAAAATCTAACCTCCATTGGTAATAATAATGTACCCGGTGTTGGTTCTTCAGGTTCATCTGCATTGTCTGCTTCAGGATTAGGCGTGTTGGATAAGACTAAAGCTGGATCTAAAAGTCATATAAGTGGAGTAAATGTTATCTCACCAGAATCACTTAGTACTCCTCATAGTAGTGGTATTGTTACTGGGAGTTTAAGTGGTGGTGTTGCTGCTGGTAGTATTGGCCACTTAGGTAATTCAGTAATGAATATTTCACCACATAATTTGGCACTTGCATTTGCTTATCTTTATCGTCGTCAAGAATGTCAATTTGCCTCTCTAACTAATCAACAATCACAGATATTTCAAGAACTTCGTGATGAATTGTCTGTTATGCATAGTGAAACACTTAGTATTCAGTCTACACTGAATAATTTAACAACAGAATTAGAAGCTATTCGAGTTAGTTTGCATTTGTTATCAGTTTTACCAATGTTATTCTAACGTTTATTAGTATTATTATCATTATTATAGATTGTGTTTGTGTTTATTTATCTTGTTTTATTGTTCAGGTGACCTTATTTTTCGACATTACTTGCCTTATGATAGTTAGGTATTTTGTCAATTAATGATCGAAATATTCTTGTGGCATTTTTTGTATAAATTTTATTACTACTGCCAATGGTAGTATATTTTAATTGGTTTAAATAGTAAAATAATAAGTAACCATACTACTATTTATAGCTGGTTTCATTCCTTATCGTTGTTTTTGAATAATCGTTATCATTATTCATCGACGGTTGCTCTTTTCAAAATAAGGTGTTCTACGCTGTCTTTACATCTTTATTGTCATATCGATAGATCAAAATAATGCACTGAATAGATATTTATTTTGAGAATAGATTTCGACGGTCTGGAGCATTTAAGGTAATTTACTTCACTTGTCTTGTTATTACCTGCCTAAATGACAAATACCTTGAAAAAATTCCCACCAATGTCTACGTCATTGCTTACTGTTTTATAATCTGCCAAAAATATCAGTCTTGTCATAAAATTCCAATTGTCTTAACAGCTTATTACTTGGTTTTTCAATTCTTGGACTGATTATCATTGTATAGAAATAACTTAAGAAAACATTATTAAGTATACAGATGGCCAGCATCTAAGATATACTGCGTGTCTTATAATAATAAGATGCTGACTCATTATATCACCTTCTTGAATCCATAAATGATTGTTTCATGCCTAACTATGAAGGTCACTTTTATTGTTGTTGGATATTTTATTTGTGTAGCACGAAAATATGAAGGAATGTAAAGTTAAATTAGTTAGTTTGTTCTTCTCCTTACGAAAATACGAAAACAATAAATGTTACCTTCGTATTTGTTATATTTCTTGGATTGAATGTTTCCTTTCCCATTTATGTATATTTGTAAACACACATACACACATGGGTGCATGACATTATCACCTGCTTTAATATGTACACATGGATGTGCTTTTCGGTACTTAACATAAACAAATATCGTTATTTTCCTTCTTTTCATATTTGTTTATTTATTTATTTTTAACTCTTTCTAATAGAAACGATGTAATAAATATTGCATATATATTTTTATTGTATGATTGTTGATTTCAATGATTTTCTTAAATTATATGTTTCATTGTTCACTGAATCTATAGGAAAAGGTAAAAACCTGTATATCCATATTATGCTAAAATGAACGTGTAATTAAAGGTACTATCAATGTAATCCGCTCATTTTTTTATACCTCTCAATAAAAAAACATAACAATCTTAGTTTTTGGTATTCACAACAGAAAAATTCAAACATTTCGTACCCAAAAGACAATTCAATAGGTATCTGGACTCAATAGCCTAGTCGATATGTTTGTATGATTCACAAGTGAACATGACTCGATTAGATCGAATCCATTTTTTGGATATTATAGTATGTCAAACTGTTAGCCAGGTTTCGACGGCTCTCTCAATTGAACAGTAAAAAAGAAATCAAATGTTTTCAATTACTACACAGGCTTTCTTTTGCTCCTCATTATCATCTTTGTATCAGTAAGATCAAGGAATCACTGGACAGCTGTTCTGTCATAGTATGGGTTTTTTCAGCAGTTCACTTTCATGACTCTCCTCCCACTGAGGATCAAACCGATGGCCTTCAGGTCTGGCTGCGAGAGCTTTATCTTTAAACCACTAAGCTATCATCCAAAAGTGTACACGTCTAACTTTAATTAATTTACTATATTTCACAATCATCTTTATTTGTCTTCGGTGGGTAACTGCCTCCCACCCGAGACGATCGAACTCCACTGAGCACAGTTTCCACTAAGACTTCGGGGATTTAAATAATAATAATGATAACAATTTTATCACATAGTTTTGACCATCCTCTCTTTTTTATTTTAGCGTGATGCAACCACCAAAGCGGAGTTACAAAATCAAAAACTAACCGATGCCAGTTCACGTATTGAACGATTGGATGCTATAGCTGAAGAATCTCGACAAGCTTTACCACATGAATTAGCAGCTATACGTAATGAATTTCATGATTCCTTATATTCAGTTGAATATCAAGTGACTACAAAAATACGCGACCTAAGTGATAATATTACAAGTATTAATAATAAGGTTGGTGTTTATTTTTTACTTCTCTGCATTATGTGAAATAAAAATAGAAACCATGTGGTTTTATTGAATCGAATTTTTTTAGTGTAAATCTTCTTTTTAAACCAGCTCTTTTAATTTGCTAGGTAATTTTAAACAATGATTTCTGTAGTGGTGGAATCTTGCTCAGAGTTGACCATGTGTGTGTTCAAAAATTGAGCGATCGATTGATTGACTTCCATTTGGCTTTAAATAACCGTATGTTATCCATAATTGCTTAGTGATCAAAAGTTGTTTTCACTTCAGATTGTTTTTTTTTCTAAAGCCTTTTATCTTGACGGCTTACAGTAATCAATGAACACGGTGTTATTAAATCGCTTATATAAATTGTGTGGAGTATCTTCTTTCTCATCCAATTGTGTTACCTTTAATTGATAAATTTTTTTTCGTAGTAGTAGCCAAAACCATTACATTAATAGTAAGATTTAAATTATCTTGTTGTTGGTATTGATGTTTGAATTTAAATCGACGTTTATTGGGATAAACTCATCCTGTTCAGATTGGTCTCGCTATAGGCATATTATAAATTTTATAAAATAGATGAACTTTCACATACGGGATATTTCAAGCCCATTCTAATATTGGTCTAAAAAGTCTATCCGCTGTATGAGTTAGTGGTTATCTGTACTCACTGCGTGTTTAGCGATTAAAGTTACTGAGTTTGAGACCCGGTACGAATGTCAACATCAGAGTGTGAGTAAATTTAACTGACGCATCTCAAACAAAATAAAACATGATATTGTTTTATTTGAATCTTCCCATTGATGTTTTTGGACTGAAATTGATCAGTCTCTTATTGGAATATGTGCATACTGTGCGTATGCCTCGATATTGCCTTAATTTACAAGCATTGTAAGCAAAGATGGATAGTGGCTAGCAGTGGAATCCAGGACGCGCGTTTCGTCCTGTTTGGGACTCGTCAGCTGGATGCACCTGCATCTCAGTGTGAACATCAACTCTGAGATGCAGGTACATCCAGCTGACGAGTCCCAAACAGGACGAAACGCGCGTCCTGGATTCCACTGCTAGCCACTATCCATCTTTGCTTAAAATAAAACATGCTTTCTAGATTTCAATTCTAACCATAATTCACCTGTTCCTTGAAACTATTACACTTCAATTCTTGAATTAATTCTTCTAGAATCTATCCTGCTCCAGTTGACTGTAAAGAAAAGGATACAATATTTAGACTTATTTATGTCTTCTCTTATCGATTTATTTGTATTGATTTTTAGTGAATTTATCAACTAAACTTTTATCGCAAGAAAAGATTTTTTCATATTCATCAAACTGCATGCATTATATATAGTATTTAGAAAAAAAATTGTCTACATGTTATACCGATCTAGTGATTGAAGCATCAAAATGTCATTTATTATCATGATTTTCCTGCACATTACTGTTTTTAAACTTCATATCTTTCACCATAACATTAGTAACCAGGTGCCGTTACTAAATTTCAGTTTTTAAATGCATGAGATGCACATGCAACACTACTTTTGTATCTGTTCTTTTAAAAATTTTATTACGTGTATAGTGTATAAAATTATAAGTATTGTTAACTATGTTTGGAAGTATCCCCAGTGAGATTTCATAAGAAGTATTGAGAGATGTTTTTCTGGAATTAATCCATTGATATAAAGACAACTCCTTGCAATATTAAGTCGTACAAGATTCTGGGATTATGTAGAACCAGAACAACTGTTGACGTCCTGTGTTCGTGACATCACTGAACATTATGCATTCTTTCGTGCGTTTCGACTGCTGATTTGATATGTGAAAACCGTTTGTATACAAGATTTTAGTTAATGATTTCTGGTTTAAAAGATTGTGAAACAACATATTTTCTAAGACTTACAAAGATGTTTGGAAAGGGTTATATGGCACGTTTATTGATATGAATCAGTTATATTTTGAAGGAAATGTGATTAATGTACTCTGAATTTTGTAAAATAAATTTTTTCAAATGATTTTACGTTTTTTAAAGTTTGAGTAAATCAAGTTTATTATACTCTTACATCTTATGAACTACTTTGAAACAGTTGATTGATTTCACTCAGTCAGTTATAGCCTTAATAGATCAATCTATGTCACAATACTGTAGTGAAAGAGAACACAGTTGAGGACAACCGAATTATATTTAGCACAACATTACAGAGTTAATTGGTAAAATAGAAAAACCATACTATAATACCTAGTTTGCAAAATGTTCAATAATTGTCTCGGACTTCATTATTCTTGCATTTCTATACTAATTGCTTTCTATTCCCGTTCTTCCTTTCTTGATCTTCCCAATCTTCTACTGCCACACATTACATTCCTGACTCGCATGATATACTATTTATCTCAATATAAGTAGCACGCACCACAATACTATAAATTGTTACTTGCATTAACTGAATATTATATCCTATCGGTTGCTTAATTTAAAAGTTATAGATTTTATTCCATATGTAAACATTATTGAATTATGTTAGATTCAAAATATAAAAGCTCTACATATCACAATTCTCTTTAGTCACTTATTAACTCTGAATTGAAGTTCGTGACGAAAACTATTTTAAAGAAAACAAAAATTATCTTCTAATCATATCAACTTCATATTAATAATTAATCTATAAACTTGACTATCCTTTCAAATACGATTAAGATTTAATTTCAGAAACGAAAAAAAAGTGTTTTTTTTTCTTAATCTTATCAGATAAACAATTTTAATTTATTGACAATTTAAATCCTTTTACTTATTTATCGCAATTATCATTTGAGTTCTAATTTAAATGAATTAATTTTTATTAAATATTAAAGTCAATTATTTTTTTCCATAGGTAAGCATGATTGAAAAACCTCATGATCAATCTAATACACTTGAATCACATGGTACAGAATTAGATCGTGTTCGTCGTAAAGTATTACATTATTTAACTGATTTATGTGTGTCATTCTTTGCACTAGTTACTATGCTACTACAAGTGCTTATACGTTGTTTAAATTTGGGCGCTGTTTTGACAGAAAATAGGTATATTTTATTGTTTTAAAGAATTATTTTTTAATAATTTGTAATACATTTTCGTTTTGTTATAATATAATCATAATCAAAAGTGTTTCGGATTATCTTGTTGTTAATATTCTTGACTAAATCTTTACTAATCTTCGTTGGGAAATGGATTACCTCGACATTGCCATTTGGTAAAAGCTCGTGATTCCAATCAGATTCAATAATCTTCATAACTTTTTACTAACAATTAGTATGCGCTCACTAGTGACTAACTTCTAGAAAATATTCCTGGAGTTCTAATGAGAAACCGTGACTAGTGAAGCTAAACTGTGTCGGGTGTAAGACAATTACCTAACAAGAGCAATGGGAAGTGGTCATAAATTGATTGAATTCAGACATCCACACCGCTAGATCCCAACTTAGTAGTATAGAAGTTAAGTGCCCGCATATACGTTCGTCGACACGCACTGCCAACGAGTCATATACTAGAACGTGACGGCTTTTGAGCACATCCAGGTTTTCAATGTTGGTCTTACATAGATCGGTTCATGATACCAGTGTAATTCAAAACAGTTGGATTGTGTGTCCTGCATACATGTTCCTTCCTATTCATGACTCTTTAGATTAATATACCTCCATCCCAATGTTAGTGTTCACGCTGGGGCTTCAACCGGATACATTTCGCTTTTTACACACTATGCGCTATCCACGGAGCTAGCTAGTAGAGATAGCCACTAACCTGTATAACAGTGTAAACGTCAACGCTGAACTTCAGGTATATCCAGCTAGCAATTCGCAAATAAAACGAAATGCTCTTTCGAAATTCCACTGCTAACCTGAATACATCACTTCTGTTGGCTTGGCAATTCTAAAATGTTCTTAATTCTTATTTCATATACATTTCACAAATTAATATATTTAGTTAAATGGTTCAAGTTATCTTTTCTTCTGTTGTAAGTGGTTATTCGATGTTTACAATGGTCAGTAGTAGTTATCATTGATTTGTGTGAGGTCCGTGATAATGCCCGGATGCACAAGCCAAAGCGATTGGTTTTCTTAGGGGGCCCCAACCAGAGCCTTTGGTTCGGAATGAGGGTTTTTCAGCTCCCCTAGGTGGACCCTCCGCGTCCACCAACCCGGTTAATGCACCGGAATTCTCTTCACCCTCAATTTCGAAAAGGCAGTGAGTAGGACTTCCATGTTAGTGGCTGTATACTCGTGGTCATGTGAGAGCATTTCGAGAGGAAGAGCAGATTCTCCATCCTCGGTCATACCAGGGCACTTAGGGGCCCAACTACATCAATTCTCACCGGTGTTGAATTCGTTTTCGAAATGCTATAGAATTTCAATGGTTTACGATTTCCACCCTATTGATTTATGCAATAGATTATCGTTTCTATTTTAAATTTGTTTGATTTATTGTATATTTCCTCATTCGCTTTCGTCTGTTTTTTTCTTTTTGTTTTATCGCATAGGAAACTTGCTGTTTGCTTTTCCATGACATTGTTAGCTAGTTGTTTGCTTGTATATACATCGGATCCTATTATTTTATGGCTCAGGGAAGATGATACCATTACAAATCCGTCTACAACAACAACAACCATACATCGAAGATCTCAATACTGGCGAAATATACTTATTGCTATCTTGTCATTTTTTCGAAGTTTTTCCCGTGAAATGTCTTGAACCAATATTTTGATTTATCTGTTTAATCATTCAATTAATTATTCGGAAGTTTCTAATGTACGTTTGTCTTGTCTTCTTTCTTTACTCAATGGTTCACTTAACTTAAAGGTTTATTATCCTTCACGACAATTACCTGGTGCTCCATTATATATATATATATATATATATATATGGGTATTCCTGTTTACTGAGATTAGTACTATTTATGCTTGCTTAAAAAGTATGGTGGATTTCTATCATTATTCACACATATATTTATACATGAAACAAATCTATCATGACGATTGTTCTATAAAAATGCTTTGTCTGAAAGCCTAATTCTATTTTAAACCATCTCATTCATTAGTTGACTAGAATATATTTATTAGTAACAACTGATCAACATCATTATTTGATCTTGCTCTGACACAATCTTATTTACAATTATTCACTTATTTTATTTGTTTTTCCATGAAGTTTTCTGTTGAGTTACCTCAGTGTAAAAAATGTGTGTTTTTACTTTTAAATATTTTTATTGTTGTTGCATCATCATTAGTCTATTTTTTTAACCTTTCGACTTATTCATTTTGTTCGTATATAGTTTTTCTTCTCATTATGAACATTGTTCTGCTCACACCCGGTATTGTCTATCTATCCCTTGTTATACAATGTTACATGTACACTGTGGATTGTGTACGGTTGATTGTCCGACGTGTACGTTGCTTGTTCTTAAATTTTTTTTCCAAATCAACTAAATATCTTAATTATATTGACAGAATAATCTAATTTCTTTTATTCATCTTATGTCGATTTTTGTAGAATAAAATCTATGTTATAATGCTGTCAATCCATTGCTATATTTTATAACACTATGTTATGAATGACATCACAAACTAATGTTGTTTATCATTATTATCCAACGTTACTTTTCATTTTAAAATCTTGTCATTTCCATATTATCTATTAACTAGAACCAGTCTTTCAAAAGAACAAACAACGAATTGTTTATTATTATTTACGTCTTACCTCTTAGTAAATGCAATCAGTTTGTCCAGCAATCAATATGTATGAGGAGATAGACATCGATGTAAAGCTGTTTAATTTTCTTTGTATTAAAAAAGAACATTTCTTCCAATATTTTTGTTTTAAACTTTCTTTTCTTGCTCTGTTTATCTACTAAAAACAGATACATGAGTGGCTTGTTAATCGAATATATATATATATATATATATATATATATATATATATATATTCGCTAATTTGTAAATCAAATACTATTATACAGTTTGAACAGAAACTTTCTTGTCTTTTCTTTTGTTCATATTCACTCGTTCACCTGTTAAAATCAAAAACACATACCTAAGCTCATGTAATAAGTTGTAGTTTACACGTAGCTTATAAAGACGTATAATACTAATCATTTGCTCCAAGCAGAATACAAGGTGTAACCTAAGACTACTAGACTGCATATATCTATGAGTGAAATAATAACATGTGAGGTAGTTAATCAAGAAAATACCCAGTTTTTTTATGGAATTCAATACACATGAGCAGCAGATATAACTCTACATGGTTTCCAGGACGTTTAAAACTAAAATAAAAAACTTTTATCATCGAGTAACAATGATAGTAATAAACGTAGCGAATATTCTATTCTTTCTACGCAGATTGTATATAGCACACAAATCAACCCCAACCAGAAACACTGTGGAGACTCAAAATGCTATTTGCGTTCGCGAACACATACCATAGTCATGTGAACCATACGCTGTTAACGTAGAAAAACCTGGTTACTTAATAAATCGCCATTCCCATCCTTTTATACAATATATATGTGTGTAAAGTGATACAAATTATGTATGAATAATAAATTCCTCAAACACAGTAAAACAAGTACTTATATTAGGATTATAAATTTGTGAAGGACAGTATCAAAAGATGTTAAGGAATTTTAATAAATGACACTTAAATCTTCAGCTAAAATTAATTTAGTCTATTGAATAGTATAGTACAAAATCGGTAGCTACATTCACGAAGGATGAGTTGTCTGAATCTAGTGGATTTTCGATACTCTGTTCCTGGATTTTCCATTAAAAGTATTTTAACTCCGTGACCAGACTTTTTAATTTGGGCTGTTTTCCTTTGTGTTAAATTTATTAGACAACTTAGGTGATAGTTCTATATTCAACTGTACGGTAACGGTCGACTACGCGACATCCAAACATAAAGGTGCTGGTAGGAAACACAACACACTAGGTGATGGTTAAGATTATTTAGTATTGGTATGCGAAATAAGGAAAAGAACATTATGTTTGGTGTACTGCAGAATTAACTGATGAAATATCTGTGATAGAGAACAGAAAACGTGTAGTTTCTTTTTAATTGCCACCAGTATGCTTTTATAGGCTATTTCTTTTAAAACAAGGTATACACTAATTGTTCGCCTAGTATTGACCACTGTTATTTTTGTCCTTAGCGGTGATAGGATTTTACCAACCAAACTTCGATGGCCACTAGCACAAGCTATTCGATATTGTATGCATTATATTTTGAATGTAGGTAACTAAAGATAGAAAACCATGGGCCTAGGCTTAGTTTTAATGGTTCGCCTCCATTCCCAAAGGACTTTAGGGAACACGAATGGTCTAGAATATATGTAAATGAATTGGGTTTAAAGTAGTGCAATTCTCAGCTTACACTTCATTTTATGTGAACAAAAGTGGCATCTGAATGCTGCTAAATTATTACTGTTCTCTGTTGATCCCAAGGTTGCTGAGTTGAACAGCGGAATGGTTTTCAAACAACCCTATGAATGAGGAATAACGAGCAAACATAATGGATTTGAAATGATAAATCGAACTGTGTGATCGTTCAGTAAACACTATGTACTAGACAATTTAATAAATATTTAACATCGCCTCACTCACACCACCATGTTGAATGAGACACGCTAGTGTGCTTCAGAAGAAATAACAGATATTTTAGTATCCGATTAGGGTAGTTTAGTCCTACCTGGCTAGCAATTGCAAGTGAGAACGCTTAACCAAACTCTATGTGTTCTGATTTTAATGATGATGTAAGTAAATTCTTTGTGTTCAGCAATCGGATCTCCAAGATACATTTACAAATATATCCTAGTGTTGTGAACACGAACACCAGTGGGGACAAAATTACAGGACTTATTAAGAAAATATAACAATCATAAAGTAAATGCTTAATTCGCAAAATGTCCACCAATTGTCTCAAAATAACTCAGATTTCATTGTTCTTGCATTTTCATTCAAATTGCATCCTGTTTCCATTCATTACTGTTCGATCCTCTTGTCTCTCTGCTTCCAGACCTTTTGTTCACGACTAACATCATATACTACTTATGTCAATATAAGTAGCACATACCACATTAGCAGCAAAGTAATATACATTCAAATTTGAGTAGAATTGGATGTAACTAGATATTCGCTTATCTTATGTAAGTGAGAGCAGTGTATATACACATACCTGGTAACGAGAACATTTTCTCTTCATAACGATGCTGTTGTAATAAATTTGGATTTGGTTACTGCTTTTTTCAGTGTGTCATCAGTGTTTGCATGATGTACAGAAAGTCTTAATTTCATTTTACTTGACCTCGAAACTTGGAAACTGCCATATTTTCTCCCGGTCTGACCATTCCTCCATAAAGTGGACGCTTTTATCTAACCAGAGGTGATACAATAAAGTTATTTATTTGGTAGGAATACACATTTTTACTTTTATAAGTAACTGGTTTCTATGTAATATTTAGTTAATTACTGGAGGCTTCATAATATGATTTGTGGGGCCCTTTATTTTGTCGTCATTGTTGACGGGCTCTCCACTTTAGTGGCCCGAGATCTGACTCCAGTTTGATCGTATGAATGACTGTTATTGAAATATATATGTCGCCTATCCTCGTATATAATCATCGACTTAAATCCCGTTAGTCAATAACGGAATTAAATAAGTCAAATAACGAGAATGGACTTGTGAATATATATATTCTGTATATGAAGCGAATGGAATACAGCGAAGCGAAACGACGCGCAGTGGAGATGGCAGGTAAGCCAACTCCCTTTTAGTCAAACACTAGTCAATATTTAGTCACACAAAATAAATTGCAGACATGTGGTGAATGGGATAAGATATGTACACACACATACGCGCTCATATAGAACAGCCAAGATTGGTAAATGAATAATTAACAAGGTCGAAATATGACTCAAGCAGAATGAGTAGATTGGCCTGTCCGAAAGCTAGAATAAAGTATATGGGCTTAACACAATAACCGACACTACAGATTAAACAGGGATTTGTACTAATTTTTACTAATCACGCTTGAGTGATCAAACAGTTTGGTCACTAGATGATACAACTACTTTTCCTAAATGTAAAAAGCTCATTTCCTTTGGGTTAAGTTACTGGCCTGAAGCAATCTATCCACTCGACGTACTTTTCATTTCAAATTTTGTTGAATAATTCCGTGTGCAGTTTAGACTACTGTCGATATTTGTTAGGGTATTTTTCTATCATCCTTACTAATAAACCTAATGATTAGGACCCCACGCAGCCTAAAGATCGTGTTTCTATTTTGTCAGTGGGGAATGACGAGTATTCACTATCTTAAAGAGGGCTATTGAGAATAGCAACAGTGACGTAAAAGTAATGTAGTGAACGAAAACTAAGGTATGATAAACAGGTGCATTATTTCGTGAAAACGCACACAGTTCTTTTGTACAATATAAAAATCATACATTAAATACAGCATTTGTACGTCATCCTTCAGTCGTCGTTTACATATTACACTATTCTTCTGATTCTGTTGTTGTTCCAATTGCTTTAAGTTTTTATTCCTGTTCACTTTATTTTGATTTTCTGTTGGATTCCACTTTCTATCCCAACTACGTACTACTTATATCTGTCCACATAAGAATCCCACATTACAATGACTCTAACTTCTGACAATAATTAATTTACAGATCAACGATAAAATTTCCATTAAAAGCGGTTATACTTTGTTTAAGAATCGCTGAAGCTAGAAGTGTTAATACTCCGATTTTCTATAACTCCCAACTTCTGACTTCGCCACAGTAAACGTACTAGCATAGATTAAGATTCATATCCAAGCATGAAAGAAAGCTAATATGTATACACCAAATAAAGGTAACAGAAAAAATA